CATCCATCCATCCATCCATCCATCCATCCATCCATCCATCCATCCATCCATAAACACACACTACATAACACTGCAACTATATACCAATAAGAATAACAAAGAATAAAAAACCCTGTTATGTAAAAACTGTTAAAAGAAATGATGAAAGGCTATTTTTATATATAAAAGGTAAAGAATCCCCTCGCACATATATACTAGTCGTTCCTGACTCTAGGGGGCATTGCTCATCTCCGTTTCATAGCCGAAGAGCCAGCGCTGTCCAAAGAAATCTCTGTGGTCATGTGGCCGGCATAACTCAAAGCCAAAGGCGCATGGAACGCTGTTCCCTTCCCACCAAAGGTGGCCCCTATTTGTCTACTTGCATTTTTTTACATGCTTTCAAACTGCTAGGTTGGCAGAAGCTGGCACAAGGAATGGGAGCTCACTCCGTTATGCAGTGCTAGGGATTCGAACCTCCAAACTGCCGACCTTCCTGATCGACAAGCTCAGCGTTTTAGCCCCTGAGCCCTTCTATTTTTATGTATAAATAAGCATTATTATTAGTACTACTACTATTACTATTATTGCTATTATTACCAGAACGATTATTATTCTTTTGCAAAAGTAAATGGACTCACACCATACACCATTGACTAAGCAACTTGTGTATATTAAAGGGGGAAAAAAATGTATAAATAAAAATTCAAAAAAGAAAAATAAGTTTTAACTTTAATACCCAAGTCTGCAAATCTTTAAAAAGTGGGGAAGGGAGGAGACCCCCCCCCCCTGCTTTAAATAGAAACTTTTGTTCCCGGGTGAGATGGGGCAACTTCTGTGGTGGGCAGGCCAACTTTCCTCCTCCTCCTCCTCCTCTTCTTCCTCCTTACCTATCTTTGCCGTTCTGTATCGAGTTCTGGCCCAAGCTGGCTCGGTCCAGCATGGGCGAATTGCGGCTCCGGTTTGTGCTGGTCGAGAGGACGCTGTTCTGCAGAGGAAGAAAAATGCCAAGTGAGGGACGGGCGTAGCTTTCCAGCCTTTCACATCCAGGAAAAAGGTAGTCCTCGACTTACAACAACACTTTGTTGAGTCACCGTGTTCAAAGTTCAAAAAGGGACTGTGTTTTCCGCACTTACGACCCAGGATCGTGGGATCAAAATTCAGATGCTTGGTAAATCGGTTCGTGTTTATGACGGGCGCAGCGTCCCCGGGGTCAATGATCCCTTTTTTTGCGACCTTCTCACCACGGGGAAGCCACATTTGCTTCCCGACCGTGCGGCTAACTTCACAGTTAATGATTCACTTAACAACAGTGGCAAGAAAAGTCGTAAAAGGAGGCACAACGCGCTCCGCCGATATTTCCACTGAGCCACATAAATGTTGGGCTCGATTGTGGTCGTTAAAACGAGGACTACCTGTAGTACAGTACTTTATACAGCAATACAGGTAGTCCTCAACTTACGACCGGTTGCTTAGCAACCATTTGAAGCTACAACGGACACCCCCCAAAAGGTATTTATAACTCAGTTCTGAAGTTCAACGCAAGTATATCCCCACTACTAATTAAATAACCATTTTTGGAGAACGTGGCTACTGACAGTTTGACTGATTTAGAGGAGGCTTTTTGATGGTTTCCGTACTTTTTAGTGCATAATATCCAATCAATAGGCTTGCTTTATGGCCAACGTTGAGGTTCACATTATGGCCGCTTGAGCTCGTTTTACGACCCCCGCAAAACAGGTGCTAAGATCAGGTTAGCCTCGACTGACGGTGGCCGTGTCTTAAAGAGGACAGAAATCCGGGGTTCCATTAGGGTCGTAGGTTGAGGACTACCTGGGAAGGAAATTCCCGAGCGGCTACGCTGGACAGGCGGTTACAGTGTGTGTGTGTTAGGGCACTCACCGTAGAGGGCATGGGGGTGCTTTTCTTCCTCTCCAGGCTGGGCAGGGGGCTGGCGGGCACTTTGACGGTACTCCCAGCCTTGCTGCGCCCGGCCTCCCTCTCCTCTTCGGGCCTCTTGTTCTCAGCGTTGGCAGCCTGCGTTTTCTTGGAGTAAGAGGTGGACGTCGGGAGGTTGGGTACTGCGGGCAGACGGCAAGGAGAGAGTGAGTGCCAGGGAGATGCAGGAAGGAGGGAGGGAGGGGAGGAACAAGGGCTGTCCTTTAGGGGCAAAAGAAGATACACACACACACACACACACACACCAGTGGTGGGATTCAAAAGAGCCGAGGTGGCGCAGTGGTTAAATGCAGCACTGCAGGCTACTTCAGCTGACTGCAATTCTGCAGTTCGGCTGTTCAAATCTCACTGGCTCAGGGTTGACTCAGCCTTCCATCCTTCCCAGGTGGGTCAAATGAGGACCC